GGGGAAAGGGGGATTTGGGGGATAAAAATGAAGATTTTGGGGGAGAAAATGGAGATTTTGTGAGGGAAAAGGGAATTTTGGGGGGAAAAATTGAGATTTTGGGGGGCAAATGGGGATTTTGGCGGGGCGAGAGATTCTTTTGGGAAAAAAATAGGGTTTTGGGGGGAAAATTGGCATTTGGGGTGAAAGGGGGGATTTTAGGGAGGTTTTGGGGGTAAAAACGGGGTTTTCTGGGGGAAAGGGAGATTTTAAGGGGGTAAAAAGGGATTTTGGGGGATTTTTTGGGGAAAAAAGGGGGATTTTTAGGTAGAAAAGGGATTTTGGGGTTAAAGAGAGGGGATTTTGGGAGATTTTTGTAGCAAAAATGGGGATTTTGGTGTAAAAAGGGGGAATTTTGGGGTAAAAGGGGGATTTTGGGAGGTTTTTAGGGATAAAAAGGATTTTTGGGGGTAAAAAGTGGGGATTTCTCTGGGACCTCACAGGGCTGCTGGAGACCTGCAAAGCACACACATGGGAAAGCACACCATAAGACAATGTCATGGATGCTGCATGAGCTGTGGTGAGCACCAGAGTTAGCACTGCTGTGCTAACAGGCCTACCAAATCCCATAGACCAATCCCACCAGACCAAGCTGAAGGCTCACTCAAGTCCCAGAAGGCTGGCAGTGAAAAAGGAAATTTTGGGGGAGAAAAAGGAAATTTTGGGGGAGAAAAAGGAAATTTTGGAGGGAAAATGGAGGTTTTGGGTGGGAAAAAGGGGGGGTTTTGGGGGAAAAAATGGAGATTTTAAGGGGAAAAATGGGGATTTTGGGGGGGGAAATTCAGATTTTTGGGGTGGGGAAAGGGGGATTTGGGGGATAAAAATGAAGATTTTGGGGGAGAAAATGGAGATTTTGTGAGGGAAAAGGGAATTTTGGGGGGAAAAATTGAGATTTTGGGGGGCAAATGGGGATTTTGGCGGGGCGAGAGATTCTTTTGGGAAAAAAATAGGGTTTTGGGGGGAAAATTGGCATTTGGGGTGAAAGGGGGGATTTTAGGGAGGTTTTGGGGGTAAAAACGGGGTTTTCTGGGGGAAAGGGAGATTTTAAGGGGGTAAAAAGGGATTTTGGGGGATTTTTTGGGGAAAAAAGGGGGATTTTTAGGTAGAAAAGGGATTTTGGGGTTAAAGAGAGGGGATTTTGGGAGATTTTTGTAGCAAAAATGGGGATTTTGGTGTAAAAAGGGGGAATTTTGGGGTAAAAGGGGGATTTTGGGAGGTTTTTAGGGATAAAAAGGATTTTTGGGGGTAAAAAGTGGGGATTTTGGGGTTAAAAGGGGGGAATAAGGGAGATTTTTGTTGTAAAAAGGGGAGATTTGGGGGAAGAAAGGATTTGGGGACATTTTTGGGGGTAAAAAGGGATTTTGGGAGATTTTTTTTTGGGGGGGGAAAGGGAGATTTTGGGGGTAGAAAAGGGGGATTTTGGGGTACAAAGGGGGATTTTGGGGTAGAAAAGGGGGATTTTGGGGTCAAAAGGGAAGATTTTAGGAGATTTTTGGGGTGCAAAGGGGGGAATTTTGGGGTACAAAAGGGGGTTTTGGGTAGAAAAGGGGGGATTTGGGGGGTCCGAAGCAGGATTTGGGGTTTTTCCCCCCCCTAGCCCCCTCCCCACTGCAGCCGCTTGCGCTGCATGGCCCCCGCGGCGCCCGGGGGGCGCGGGCGGGCCCGGGGCCGCGGCGTGGCCAGCGCCCGCAGCAGGCGGTTCTCCCTCTCCAGCGCCGCGCGGCGCTCGCTCAGCTCCCGGATCTGCTCCCGCAGCGCCTCCACCTCCTCCCGCACCGCCAGCAGCAGGTGCGACTTCACCAGGTCCTGGGGCCCCCGGCACGTCAGGGCTCCCACAGCCCCTGCCAGGACCCTGAGCCCCTTCACACACCCCTTCCAGGACCCCCGGGGGCCCCCCGACACGTCAGGGCTCCCACAGCCCCGGCCAGGACCCTGAGTCCCCTCACACACCCCTTCCAGGACCCCCACGGACACGTCAGGGCTCCCACACCCCCTGCCAGGACCCCTCTCCACCCAGTTCCTCCCTTCCAAGACCCCAAGCCACCCAAATCCTCCCTTCCAGGACCCGGGACCCCCTCACAGCCACCTTCCAGGACCCTGAACACCTTGGTACCTCCCTTCCAGGACCCCCAGTGCCCCCACACCCCCCTTTCAGGATCTCTCTCCCTCTGGTACCTCCCTGCCAGGACCCATCACCCCCATCTCAGGACCCCAAGCCCCTTGATGTGTCCCTTCCAGGACCCTGAACCCCCAAATCCTCCCTTCCAGGACCCGGGACCCCCTGACCTCTCCCTCCCAGGCCCCCCCGCCATTACTCCCCCCTCACCATGGCCCTCTCGATCTTGTTGTCGATGGCGCTGCCGCCGCTGCCGGCGCTGGGGGCGAGGCCGGGGTCACACGGACGCCCCGACAGACAGACAGACAGACGGACACCACCCCTCCCCCCCTCCCCCTTTCCCTTCCCCTTTCCCGGGGTGGGGGAGGGGCGCCCGGCCCCTCCCTCACACCTCCCAAGCCCCGCCCCCCCACCGGAAGTCCCGCCTTACCCCTCCTCCTCGCTCTCCTCGCCAGCCAATCCCAGCCGCGCGCTGAGCTCGGCCCCGCCCCCGGGGCGTGGCGAGGGCGGCTTGGGGGGCAGGGCCTGAAAAAGCACGGGGTTAAGGGGTACGGAAAGGGGCGTGGCCACCCCAGCCCCGCCCCCGGGGCGTGGCCGGGGGTTTGGCGGGCAGCGCCTGCGAAGAGGGGGGGGTTTGAGGAGGGGTACCAAAGGGGGCGTGTCCAGCCCCGCCCCGCCCCCTCACCTGCTGCACGAGCTCCGCGAAGGCCCCGAGCGAGCGCGGGCGGGGGGGGGCGGGGCCGGCCCGGGNGCGGCCGCCGCCGCCGCCCTGCTGCGCCTGGGCGAGGAGCGGCCGCCCGCCGCCGCCGCCGTGAGCCTGCTGCAGCGCAAGGGACGGCCCGAGTGGCGGCCCCGCGACGAGGAGCCGCGCAAGGGGTGAGCGACACCGGGGGACACCGGGGGGGACAAGGGGACCAGGCACGGGTGGCCCGGGGGGAGGGCAGGAGCCCGGGGAGCGCCCGCAGGCGACAACGGGAGGCCCAGGACCACCCTCAGGGGACACTGGGACCACCCTTGAGCACTCTGAGGGGACATTGGTAGCCCCTGGACCACCCCCAGAGTACCCCAGGAGCCCCAGGACCACCCTGGACCACTCTGAGGGGACAACGGGAGGCTCAGGACCACCCTCAGGGGACACAGAGAATCCCTGGACCGCCTTTAGAGGGCACTGAGAGCCCCAAGACCACCCTGAGGGGACACTGGGAGCCTCAGGACCACCCTGGACTACACCCAGGGGACACTGGGACCACCCTGGACCACTCTGAGGGGACACTGGGAGCCCCAGCATCACTCTGGGCTGCTCTTATGGGACTCTCGTAGCCCCTAGACTGCCCTGGACCACCCCCAGGGGACACAGGGAGTCCCTGGACCACTCTGAGGGGACATAGGTAGCCCCAGCACCACCCTTAGGGAACATTGGGGTCCCCCAGGACCACCCTGGGAGACCGCTCACCCTCTCAGGACTCCCCAGAGACCCCCAACTCACCCTGGGGGGACCCTGGGACCCCCGCCCCTTCCCATGACCCCAATGCCCCCACTGACCGCGAGACCCTCGGCCCACCCTCTGCACCCCCATTCCCCTGTGAGTCCCCAGGGGATCCCGGGGGGCCGTGGGGGTGTCCCCAGAGCCGGGGGCGTCCCTGAGCCGCCGTGTCCCCCCCGCAGGGTCCCCAAGGCGCGGGAGGGGGGGTCCCTGCGGCGCCCGCTGCGGGTGGGCTTCCTGACGCTGCCGGCGCCGCAGGAGCGCGGCCCCCGGCCCTGCGCCCCCGGCATGGCCCCCCGCTCGCTCTCCTGCCA